GTGTGTGTGTGTGTGTGTGTGTGTGTGTATACAGAGATTAATATTGTGCTTAAGCACATATATATTTAGATGTCTATATATAATGATTATTTTTATATATGTATATAATCATAGAAGCACTTTTTGTGGCAAAAAAAAATTGGGGAATTGTTGAACAAACTGTGACATGAACATAATGGAAAAACAATAATTATTAGGAATTCAGAGAAGCTTGGGAAAACATGAATTAACTGATACAGAAGTAAGCAGAATAAGGAAAGCAACACAGAGAAAGATTACAATAACATAGCAAAAATAACACTAAAAGGCAGTTGAACTCATATAACGATCAATCTTAGTCCCAGAGAATTGGTAATGAAAGAGTCATTAGCACTCTGTGGAGAGATGGGAGATACTGAGCAGGCTATGCATTATCAGATAAGGTCACTGTGTCCACTGTGTCCCTTGGTTTTACTGATTCTCCCCATTATGAGGGAGAATTCAGTTGTGAGACTGGGTCTAGAAATATTTGTGGTGTAAAATCAAAATACATTCATAAAATTTTACTTTAAAGAAAAAAAGGCAAGTATATGTGTAATACAGTTTGGAAAAGTTTCCATGCAAAATGGGTATATTAACTGTGGTCAGTGCAGTGACCTAAAGTGATTTCAGAGGATGGAGAGAGACTTCAAGTTTCAGCTAAAATCCCACCTTCTGCAAGAACCTTGACCACCTCACCCCCTTCTTAATGCTAATGCCTTCCCTCTAAGATGATCTCCAGTGTATCCTGTCTATATCTTGTTTGTTTATAGCTGTTTCCATGTTGTCTCTTTCATTAGACTGTGAACTCCCTGAGGGCAGGTTCTGTCTTTTGACTTCCTTTTTTTTCCCCCAAGGCCTAGTGAAGTGCCTGGGCCTCATCAATACTTGTTGACTGATTGTTAACTGACTGATAGTGGAGCATGATAGAGGAATCCCAGGAAGGAAAGAGGCCTACATCACCAAAGAAGGTCACAGTGCTGATTGTTCCACTCAACAATACTTCTTGGGGGTGGAGGTTGGAGGGGGGGAGGGAGGGAAGAAGGGAAGGAGAGGAAAGTCTCTGGGAAGTGACTGTAATATATTAAGAAATTATTAAAAAGTAAAAAAGTAAACAGTCACTCTAAGTCATGGAAAGTGAGTAGTACTTACAGCTACTACAGTACTTACAGTTTAGTTATATAATCTCACATATGTGGACCAACTCATTTCTCACTCATGCCAGCCGAATGAGGCACCTCTGCCTCGGTACAGAGTGGGTCCTGAGGATTCCTGAGATCTCTGACTTTCAGGAACCTCAATAATGCTTACCCGAGCCACGGTGTTATTCACATATGCTTTGTAAGTTCTTCTCTGCATCTGATAGCCATTGTCGTCTGTATAAAGGACTTGGTGACTGTTTAAATCCGTGCTTGTCCTCAGGACTGCCTCACGGTTCAGTTTCAAGGGCCCCACCCTGTATTCTTGTTCTATCCTGTGGCAGAGCAGCTTCCCATCATAACCCTCTGGAATATGGAAGATCCGAGAATAGGCAGCATAGGTATAATCCTTTACTGTGAAATTTCTATTTAAAAAAAAAAGAGTAGGTATTATGGGATGAATAAATGAGAAACAAGTGAAAAAATGAGGTTGGGGATTATTTGGGGAATCACCAGGATTCCTTATGTGGAAGTGAGGTTTTTGGTTCTTTTTTGGGAAAATGTAGGAATAAAGTAAATTAGATTTCACACTCTCTCCTGAACAGCCCTGGTGATTTTCTGCTTATACTGGGTCCCTACCACATCTATCCCCTAGCCTTGTGATTTTCTCAAAATCCTCATCTTCAATTCCAGGGATTTTTTTCTATTTCTGCTACTGTATATCATACAGGGAACCTTATAGTACAGGACAATTTTCCTTGTTCATCTTAGTTCTGGTTAGTTAATAGTTTAAATGTGCTTGCATGGCCTAAATATTTACGTTTCTTGACAATGGTTGACCTCAGCAGGCTAGTTTAGTAGTCATACCATTCCTCTCACACTCTTTGTGAGAGTCCAAATGCCAGTCTGGTGAGATCACAGGCTCTGACCCACGGTGGTAGTTGTCAGTCTCCTATTATAGACCCATCTAGACAATGTTTGTTGAATAAATGCTTGCTGAAATTGTTTTTTTGTTACAAGGGCTTTACATACACCCTTTCTGTTGATCATTATGATAACCCTAAGAGTTTGGTAGTATATCCACCTTTGTATCTCCCCCAGTGCCTAGCACAGTGCTGTGCCTCTAGTAAATGTTTGTTGAACGCAACTGAATTATGATTCCCATTTAGAGAAGAGAGAAAACCAAGTTCAGAAAGATGAAGATGACTCATCCAAAGGTCACATGGCTAGAAAGTGGTAGACCTGGAACGTGAGCCTCTCTCCTGATTCCAAATCCAATGTCTTCTCTGCTTAAAGTCTCACAGTGTCATGAACAGAGGCCCAACTTGGAAAGTTAGGAAAACCTGAATTCAATATCACTTCAAACAATTATTAGTTGTGTGATCCTGGACAAGTTACTTAATCAGTCAGTCAATCAATAAGCATTTACTAAGCACCCAGTATGTGTTAGGTTCTGTTCTTAACCCCTCTGAGCCTCAGTTTCTTTACCTATCAAATGGAAACATTAAGAGCACCTACCTCACAGGGTTGTTGTGAAGCTTGAATGAAATAACATATGTAAAACACTTTCCAAATCTTAAAGTGGTAAATAAATGTAAGCTATCATTATCAATACTGTCTTGAGATGAACCTTTTATATCAAGCAATACATTCATACCCTGGAAAAGTGACTCCAAGCTTGTGTATTTTTTTCTTTTAGAAAACATAAGTATTTTAATATAGGTGAGGTTGAAAGATGATTTTACATGTATTGGGTGTAGGGGCTGGGCCATGGAGGCCCGTTCCCCAAGCACACATCGCATGCCCTGCTCACCACCAAACCACATGAAAAGGTGTGATGAGATACTGCAGAAGGGGCCTCCTCTCTGATTCAGAGCACAGGCAGGTATACTGACTGCTTCTAGTCCTCTTATCTAGTAATGAAGATGGGCCTTCTTAGTTGGCTGCTGAGCCAGAACTGGCAGACAGACAAGACTCTAACAGGGGCAGCTTACCCCTTCTTTCCTGCCTGGCTGACTTGAGTGAGGAAGACATTCTACAGAACTCCAGGTTGGGAAAGGCCTCAGGCCCTTTCCACCTAGGTCAACATGTGGTCAACATGGGCCTCTGTGCATTTGTGCCTTCCTGTTCGTAGGTGAAAGAGTATGTGACTAAGCTACAATCGCATGAATTTCAAAATGTTGGGAGAGTGAGCTGCTGGAGGCCGGGGAGGTGGTGTCCATGCCAGAGGACAGCAGAGTCCAATGAGAAACAAAATCCCCACTCCACTGTTTGCCCCAGCAGAAGTGGACTGAAAGCAGCTGGGAGAGAAACTGCAACTCACTCAACAGCCATGCCACATCCAGAAGTGTACTTAGTAGGACAAATGCTCTGTAGCAACTGCTTTAAAGTTGAGCCCATACACCCTGGGGACCAAGGCGGTATGGGTGAAAAGTGTGCCTCCAAGTGTCAAAGTGGGGAAGAGTTTATACCTCTCTTATTGCTGTATTTTCTCAGTAAATAGCCTTTTGTAAAAGCTGATTGATTTAACTGGTTAAAGGAAGCAAGGGTGGAGGTATCATCAACTGGGAGATACTACCTGGAGACAGATATTAGGGAAAATGCACTGGAATGGAGGCTTCAGCTGATGGCAGTAGAAAAATCACCTAGATCCCTTCGGGGTACCATTAGGATCTCTGGAGGAGATGTGGCCTTTCTCAGGGGACTGACTCATCAGTGTGAGCAGAAATTGAGAGTAAGGATCCTTAGAACTTACACAGATGATAGAGGGAAAATTTCTGAATACTGATTGGGACACCATGTATTCTACTTAAAGCATATAAAGAAACCATCAGAGAAAAGCTAGTATCTAAGAAGAGCAGATGATATACAAAAGTGAAAAACAAAAGCACAACAAAACAGCCCTGTCCACAGAGAAACTTGGAGAGTATCAATGCACAAGGAGAGGTAAGTGTTTTTAGGTGTAGAACACTTAACTATGCTTTGAGTAACTCAGATGCATCACAATCTTCTCTCTGACTCTGAAGAGATCACTTATGGGTTTCAGTTTTCCTCAACCATGAAAAGGAGGAATTGTACCATAATCTGGAGTCCATGAACTTTCTTTTTATTTGATAACTGTATTTCAGTTTTATTGATTTCCTTTGAACCTATCTGTATTTTATTTTATGTATAGAAAAACATTAATCTGAAAAGATATCCATAGGCTTCACCAGCCTACCCAAGCAATCTGATACAGAAAGGTTGGCCTAGATGATTTTTAAAGATGTCTTTCAGTTCTAACGTCTTTTGGTGCACTCTATAAGCCCTCTTCCTGGCTCTGACATTCTATGAATTCTTCCTCTACTAAAGAAGTGAACCCAAGAAAATAAGAAAGTCACATCATATTCTGCAAAGTGATTGGAAGAAGGTTTCCTCCATATTGGCTACCCTTCAATCATTTCCACAGTTTCATTGTTTCCCTTCTGTAGCTTAATTTATGTATTAAATGCATAACCACAAAAATTTTGTCTGATGATAGAGTTACACATTTAGGATACATTAGTGGAAAGAGCAACATACAAGCTCCTTGAATACGGGGACTATTGCTCATTTATAACTCTGGTGCCTAGCATAATTTCTTATACAGGGCAGGTACTTAATAAATGTTTACTGAATTGAGAGGACTTGGAATTAGGAGACTTGAGATTTGAGGTCGTTCTCCACTATTTACTGGCTGTCTGACTTAATTAATTAATGGCTTAGTTAATTCAGTCTCAGTTTCCTTTGCTGTAAGATGGATATGACCATGTTTGTACTACCTTCCCCTAGCATTTTATAAAGATAAAGGTATATCATTGGATTTTAAAGCTGGAAGGAATATTAGACATTATCTAGTTTGACCTATCCATTTCACAGAAGAGAAAACTGAAGCCTAGCAGGGGAAATGACTTGTCCCATATCAGACACTGAGTCACTGGTTTCTGAGTTGTTGTTGTAACTTTTTTTTTTTTAGGCAATTGGGGTTAAGTGACTTGTCCAGGATCACACAGCTAGTAAGTGTGAAGTGTTTGATCTGAGGATGGATTTGAACTCAGATCCTCCTGACTTCAGGGCCGGTGCTCTATCCACTGCGCCACCTATCTGCCCCTTGTTGTAACTTTTATATTTACTCTCCCTGCTTTGGGGAAGATCAAATTAGTTAATCTATAGTAAATCCTTTGGAACTACAAGGAGCTCCATAAACCTGAATAGTATGAAAAAAATCAAGCAAATAATAATTCACATTCCTGAATACTTCAAGGTTTTCAAAACTTTGCAATTCATAGATGAAGAAATTGGGACCCTAGGAGGTTAAATGATTTGTCCATGGTCACTCAGCTAATCAGCTCCTGAGATAGGATCTGAACCTTGGACGTCCTGATTTGAGGTTCTATAATTGATCTACAAGGTTTTGTGGACTCTTGGCAAATCCTTATTTAAACAAACTGGTCTCTGATTTCAATTTCGCAAATATTAACTCATTAAAGAGAAAGGACTGAATACTCAGAGAAAAAGGTTAAGCTGTTTCCTCAGCTTAAGCAGCCTTTTAGACTGAAAAGACTGCTCACAAGCAGGAAGTGAAAACGGTCCAGTCTCTAGCCTAATACCTTACCTATAAAAATACTGCCGGATCTCCGTCACCAGTTTTCCAGCCACAATTTCCAACCCCACCACATCTGATGCTTCAACTGCTGATCCATCTGGGGTAAACAAATAGTTGTCTGAAATAGGTCCGTGCTCCAAATCAGCATTCACTTTATACTCCAGGAACTGCTGGGTGACTCGTACAGTCTGGTTACTCTCCCTGTAAAGGTACAAGAGAGCAAAGATTCCTTGCTCATTCGTTATTTTCGCAGAAAGATATGTAGCAACCTGAGCAGAGAATCTGCTGTGCAAACGCCACTGGATTTAGAGCCAGAGCAAGCGTTTATTAAGTGGGTGCCAGGTGAGATGCTAGGTGCTGGGGATACAAAGATGAAAATGAAATCTCTGCCCTTAAGGAGCTTACATTTTATTGGAGGAAACAAAACATGCAAGTGGAAGTCTATGCAAAGCGTAAACAAAATGAATGCAAAATCACGGGGAGAAGCATGGGGGTGGGAACCACAAGGATAATGCAAGAATTGGCACCGAAGCAAGGATTCTCAGAGGCATTTCAGGTGTGTGTGAAAGAGCCCTGAAAATGCATGGAAAATCATGTGTGAAGAAGAGAAAGAAAGTCACTCAACAAATAAGTTACTTAATAAACAAAGGAAGGCAGCAAACACAGTGCAGGGAGTCCTGGAATTCTAGTCTAAAGGTCTGTAGGGGTGTCTCTGCCTTCCACGGTAGGAGACCTTAAGCAAGTCAAACAAATGGGAGTAGGCTTCCTCATTTGTAAAATGGGTAACACCTGCCCTGCCAACCTCACAGGGTTGTGGATGGGATGGAGCCAGTTTCTAGGCACACAGGCAGTCAAATTTTAATCATAAATTCACTATGTGTATCTGTAAGATTCCCGGAAGTCAGAAGAGACGTGGGAATGTGAGAGATAAGGAAGAAATCCTAGAACATTAGTAGCTGATACAGTGCTCAAAAACTGACAGAGTTTTTAATACTCATTTGAACCCCACAACAATCCAGTGAGGTAGCAGGGGTAGAGGCTCATGTTTTATAAAGGAAGAAAATGAGTCTCCCAAAGTAAGTGATTCTCTCACAGCTGCACAGCTAGCGAGCTAGAATCAGGACTCTAAACCAGTTCTCCTTGACTCCAAGTCTGACATTCTATGCTTTGCGCCGTGATGCCTCTTGTAGAACACAGAACCTAGAACATTAGCACTTACAGATGATTTCACTCAATAGGCTCGTTTTACTGATGAGAAAACAGGCTGTGCCTTGTACCAGGTCGCACACCTACTAGGACAAGGACCTATTCTCCTGACTCCCAATCTGGCTTTCTTTCTCAATACACATTTATCGAGCAGTTACTGCATGCAAGGCCCTAGGGATACACTACACCATCCTGTGAGGATACAAGACATCATCTTGTAGCTGGCCACAGTGGGTACTTAATTACAGTCTACAGTCAGCCCAAGCATCTTCCTGTGCGTGTCCTACTCCAGCAGCTCTCACAGGCTACTCAGGAGGTGTGAAATGTGCGACTCAGAAGTTGGATGGCTCTCTGACCTCAGTAGAACCAAACATGTGTGTCCATGTGAAGTGATGGTTAGCCTGCTGGTGTCTAACCACATGTTTGTGAATTGGATTGTTCTGATAACATCTGTACAGACAGATACTGCAAGACTTCTCAGAAAACTGTCACTCCCAACCTCCCCAGTATACACTGGGTGGCCAAGAGCCAGTAGCGAATTGAACTGAGAATGCTGTTTGCAGAAAGGCCTGGCTCCTGCCTTCAGGGTGAACAGCTCAACGCCTTGGGCTCTGCTCAGTGCCTCTTTTCCTCCATCCTTGAGGGTCAAAGCAGACTAGTGCTCATACCCTAATAATAATAGCTCAAGTATTTGAAGTTTTATAAAAAGGGCTCTTTAAAAAGTCTAGGTCTCCCTTATGTCGTCCAGGCTAGAAGTACAGAGACTATTCATGGATCTGGTCCCACTCTGATTAGCACCAGAGCTTTTGTTCTGTTCTGTTTTTGGACTTTGGCCAGTTCACCTTTCCTTTGGCAACCTGGTCCCTCCTCACCCCTTCTTCCTGGAGGCTCACCTCATTAATGCTGAACTCAGTGAGGATACCTGCTCAGCTTAGCAGCTCAGAATTCCTGAGTTTAAGACATCTATCAGCTTCCACCTCCCCAGCAGCAGAGGGTATAGGTATGTGCTACCCGCCCCAGATTTTTTTTTTTTAGGCAATTGGGGTTAAGTGACTTGCCCAGGGTCACACAGCTAGTAAGTGTCAAGTGTCTGGTCTGAGCCTGGGTTTGAACTCAGGTCCTCCTGACTTCAGGGCCAGTACTCTATCCACTATGGAACGTCAACCCAGGTCTCTTAATAATTAGACTAGTGGTTTTTTTTTTTTTAGCACTATCCTAAGTTTTTTTTAAATTCTTTTTAGTTTTGAATTTATGATCTTAAGATCTCTAATCAGTAAAGTTGCTTCTAGAGCAGAGATGTCACAAATTAAAATGTAATTAGGAAACATTTAACAAAATAAATGAAAATACAGCACAACATGGATAACATGAATTTGTAGTTCTTAAAGTCAATATAGAGCCTGCAAGGATGCTTCCAGGTGAGTCTGACACCACTAGGTTAAAGTGCCTTATTGTATTTTAGCACCCTAGCCTAACTTGCTGACCTGGCCCCAAATCCCTGCTACGCCCTTTTTTCCCCTCCCCTCATTGCTCCCTCCTACTTTGCCAGCACCCACCAGTCCATGTTGAGGCCCTTCACACTGAGGACTCCTTGAAGGCCATTCAGTCTGACTCTGCGGTAGGGGGGGAAAGCACCAAACTCTGTCAGGAGCTCCTGGATTCAAATTCCAGGCCGCAATTCCCATCCCTATTTTTTTTTTCCTGGCGAGGCAACTGGGTTTAAGTGACTTGCCCAGGGTCAAACAGCTAGTAAGTGTCAAGTGTCTAGTCTGAGATCAAATTTGAACTCAGGGCCTCCTGACTCTACGGCAGGCTCTATCCACTGCACCACTTCACTGCCCCTCCATCATTTCTTAGCCTGTTTCCTCATCTGCAAAATAGTGACGATCCTCCTGACACAACTTACCTCATGGGATTTGTGAGCACGAGACTTTGTAAACCTTAAAGCAGGACAGAAACACCATGTTCTTATTACTAATATCATCTCACTTGTCCTGCCAACAGCGCAGCTTCTTCCCACTACTGATCACACTCATGGAAGGGGCTGAGAGATGAAGGTCTAGGCACTTTTCAAGTTATCATTCTTGCCAGTACTCCTGATCACCTTGTGCCATATTCAGGGGACTGAATACAAAACACCGTGGTATAGCACAGTAGAAAGAATGCTAGAATGGAATTAGATGCCTGGTCTCTGGTCTCAGCTGCTACTGGACTAAGATGAATCACCCTGGACAAGGCATTCCTCCCTCTGAGCCTTGAGGGTTGGTTTAGAACAGTGGTATCAAACTCAAATAGAAATGTTGTTGTTTAGCCATTTTTCACTTGTGTCTGACTTTTTGTGACCCCTTTCGGGTTTTTCTTGGAAAAGATACTGGATTCCTTCTCCAGCTCATTTTACAGATGAGGAAACTGAGGCGAACAGGGTTAAGTGACTTGCCCAGGGTCACACAGCTAGTCAGTGTCTGAGGCCGGATTTGAACTCAGGAAGATGATCTTCCTGACTCCAGCCTGGCCCTATATCTACAATGCCACCTCACTGCCTCTCAAACAGAAATAGGGGCCGATAAATTGTACCTAAGGATTCAGGTGGGCTGCATACTGACTTAGAAATCCACTTATTAACATTATCTCTGCTTTATTATATTTTAATTTATTTTATTAAGTACTTCTCAAATTACATTTAATCTAGTTCAGGTTGCAATCAGAAGTATCCTGCAGCTCTTACGTTCTGACACCTCTGGTCTAGAAGAAATCTCTTTTGGTCCATTCTACATTAGAATTACTGAACAGTATTGTATATGTGTTTAATTTTTTCTCTAGACTGAGAGCTCTTGGGACAGAGGTAGTTTTATTTATCCTTATGCTTTTCAAGTGCTTATCTTATTTTTTTATCTTTTAGGCATTTAGGGTTAAGTGACTTGCCCAGGGTCACACAGCTAGTAAGTGTCTGAATCCGGATTTGAACTCAGGTCCTCCTGACTCCAGGGCCGGGGTTTATCCACTGTGCCACCTAGCTACCCCTCCAAGTGCTTATCTTAGTATTCCAAACAAAATAGATGCTGAATAAATATTTGCTGAATGAATGACTGGATTTCTGAGGTCCTGTCTAAGTCAGATATTTTATATTTCTATCCTTCTAAACAGTTCTAATTAAGAACTAATTGGCTAATATTGGCAATTATCTTTTAAAGACCTCTCTGCCCCCAATTATTTCTCCCTGCTATCTTCTCAATGATACTCGAAATGCTTCCTTTGCCTTAAGGAATGCTAATACACAATTACACTGAAAAGGTTTAAAATGCATTCATTCTGAACAAGTGTTTATACCTTAATGAGGAGGAGTTCATCAAATACTTTCCTTAAGGACAGGGAATGGATGAAAACCACAGGGGTTAAATTCTTTGTCTTTTGTTTTTAGGGGAAAGAAAAGAGATATCCAAAATCTAGGTATTATCTGGATCCGGTAGGCCTAAGTACAGCACCATAGTCAGGGCTGGGGACAGATTGTTCCAGCTATAAAAAATGGGTTTTTAAGATCCAAAGATCTAAATTCGAATCCCTTTTGGCACCCACTAGTTGTGGGATCTTGGGTAATTCATTTCCCTTCTCAAAGCTTCTTGCTCAGCTATCAATTCTGTTATCTAAAATAGTGGTGATATTCTAAGCTTTTCTACAGTGAAGAATTACAAAATTAAAGAAAGGAATGCTTTAAATTTTTGTACTGTGCTGGAAATTCTTTTCCCCCAGGGTCTATAAAACATTAATTTGTTTTTATATATTTTACTATTTTTTTGAAGCTTCTTTCTATGTGTTATGTTTCCTGACCAGATAAAAAGGCCTTAAGCCCCATGTGAGACAAGCCAGTGTCATATTTAAATTTTTGTCTTCCCCAATGCTTAGTTAACAAGTCTGCTTAGCAAAGAGACAAAATGTTTGTTGGCTGAGGCAGTTTCTAGTTTCTAGTTTCTAGTTTCTTGTTTTTGTTTTGTTTTGTTGTTTTAATGGGGCAATGGGGTTAAGTGACTTGCCCAGGGTCACACAGCTAGTAAGTGTCTGAAGCTGGATTTGAACTCAGGTCCTCCTGACTTCAAGTCTGGAGCTCTATCCACTGCGCCACCTAGCTGCCCCCATTTGGTTTTTGTTTTTGTTTTTGTTTTGCAGTTTCTAGTTTCTTTTGGCCTCCTAGTTGTGATGATGATTTTATAGTGGTTAAAAGTCTCTTTAAAAAAAAAAAGGTCAGAAGCTGGTAAGAAATTGGAGATAAGGCATTAAAAAGCAAGAATGATGCCAAGATTTGCATCTTGGAGATGGAAACAATAATTGTGCCACTGATGGGCAATAGAATGAACCCTTCTTGAGGACAAAGCCAGTTGTATTTTTGTCTTTGAATTGACACAGCTTTAACACAGTGCTGAACACATAACAGGCACTTAATAAATACGAACAGACTTTTAATAAAAGCCTGATGAGTTGAATAGTCTGAAAGTAAAGTCTATTTTTTTGTTAATCATTTGTTGTACTTAACATACTTATGACTTGTCTGGTGGTCACACAGTCAGTGTGGGTCATAGGCGGGAATTGAACCCAGGTCTTCTTGACTATAAGACCAGTTCTCAAGCCACTACACTAGCTTTCCACATACTTAATCTTTCCCTGTGCCCTGGCAGCTCCTGAAGACTAAGGTGCAAAGAGGTGCCATTTTGCATTGGTAGAGGGAATTTCTTCACTGGGTGCTTCCTACACCATTGAAATCACAAGGGGCAGCTAGGAGGCACAATAGATAGAGCTCTGGCCTTGGAGTCAGGAAAACCAGAGTTCAAATCTGGCCTCAGACATTTACTAGCTGTGTGACCTTGGGAAAGTCACTTTACCCTGATTGCCTCACCAAAAAGCAAAAAAACAAAAACAAACAAACAAAGAAAAAAATCACAAGCCCACTAAAAAAAAATGTATTTATGGTATTACTGTGTAGTAGAAAGCCCATACATGGTACTTACTATCAACAAACTTGGTTTAACTTGTGGTTCCAACACTACTGACCACAGGTAAGTTACCCAACCAACTCTGAGACCCTCAGTTTCCTCACGTGTAATACATATTAACATTTTTACCACTTCCCTCATGGAACTGTTGTGAATAAATTCTGTAAAACTTAAAAGGCACCTTAGAGATGTGAGTCGTGATTATAATAAAGGCTTGTGATTCTTCTTACTTTAAAAAGCCTGTGACCTATATACTACATATTTCTCCAATAAATAAAAATCAAATGAAGTTTCTTTTTGCCTGAGGACCAATGGTCTTTAAGAGGAACACCCGTCCTTACCATCCTAAAGCCAAGAGACACCGGCAACAAGCCCAGACAAGCCAGGTGGATTACCTCTCGATGATGCTGTGCATTAAATTGGTGCCTTGGTCCATGAGTATAGAATAACACTCGTTTGTCACAGGAAATAGTCGCCTGCCAGAGCAGCGTGAAGACTTCTTAGATTTCCTACCGAACTGGAAGACTCTTGCAATCGAGGTTGACTCCTGGTGAGCCTCTTCAAATTTGCCAGTTAACTTAATGTAGTAACGCCGGTAACTGAGACCCTTTATGGTGGTCAGAATGTACAAGTCATAGATGGACTGAGAGTCAGTTGAGTTCTGGATCTGCAAAGAAAGAGTGAGATCAGCTAGATAATTTAGTCCTGGCCTGTCCAATGTTGCTGAATCTTTCAGTGAGATTTGTTAAGTATTGTTGAATGGGACAGGTTCTACAAGTCAAGCCAACAAGCATTTATTAAGCGTCTACTATGGGTTAGGCACAATACTAAGCACTAGAGGAACAAAGAAAGGCAAAAATAAGTCCCACTTTAAGGGAGCTCATGGTCTAATGGGGGAGATTACACACAAACAGTTATGCAGAGACAAGACACATACACAATAACTTTGCCAGGAATCAGTTAAGCTCACTGGCCTATGGTTGGAAGAATGCATCTAACCTCTTCATTTTTTGGAAAGATTAAGGCCACATTTGTCCAACTCTAGTAAGTCTTTTCTTTGTTGATTATCTCCAATTTATGTTCTATCTTGTTTTATATAGTTTGCATGTTCTCCTTCCCATTAGACAGCGAGCTTCTTCTGAGCAGGGACTGTCTTTTGCCCCTCTTTGTATCTTCAGCTCTTAGCACAGTGACTACTGGCACACAGCAGGCACAAGAAATGCCTGTTGACTTGACCTGAGAAGGCATTACCTGAGTTGGGCAAGTGTGACCGTGACCTTCCAAAAAATGAAGACGACTAGGTTTTCAGACTACACAAAAGTAAGCTCAACTGACTGCTGGCTAAGTTCTAGAATGCAATATTAAAAGAATGTTTTGTGAACATTTAGAAAGTGCAGCTGTGATTTTTGAGAGTGAGAAGGGGTCCATTAATAACAGGTTGCACTGCCGGGAAGATTTGTATGAACTGATAAAAAGTGAAGTGAGCAGAACCACGAGGACACTGTGCACAGTAAGAGCAACACTGTAAGGATAATCAAATGTGAAAGACATAGCTATGCTGATCAAGAAAATGATCCAAGACAATTCCAAAGGACCCATGATGAAAAATGCTATCCCGTCTCCAGAGAGACAACTGATGAACTCTGAATGCAGATTGAGGCATACTTTATTTTTCTTGGGGCTTTTTGTGTATTTTCTTTTGCAAAATGGCTAATACGGAAATAACACCTCACAGTTCCCCGGCAGTTTAAAGAGCTTTTTCTTATGGGATCACAAGATGAGATTTGATGTGGAAGAGACCTTATGGGTAAGTTAGTCCAGCACCTCATTTACAGGTGAAGAAGCAGAGGCACAAAGGTGAGTGAGTTGCCCAAGGATGCGGAGGCAATAAATGTCAGAGGTGGAGCTGGAACCCAGGTCCCTTCACTCCAATTTGGTGCTTTCTACGTCTTCTCATGGCCTGGAATGCACGCTCCCCTTCCTCACCAAAGCCCCACAAAGCACACGCTAACTCCGTGAGGAGACTCGGCTCCTACTTTAAACCATAGGCCTGGAGTCATCCAGTTAGTAAGAGCCAGAGCGAGGACTCCATCTCAGCCCTTGGGGCACTGGGCTCAGGGTTCGACCACGTGTACTCTCAGGGCTCTTTCACATCCAACATTCCCAGAGGCAGCAGACAGAGTGGCCAGGAACAGCTGACTCAAAGCCAGCAGACTTAGGTCTGGGCAAGGATTCTGCTACTAACTGTGACCTTTGGCAAATCACTTTACTTCTTCGGGCTCTGGCTTTATCACTTGTAAAAATGGGAATAATTCCACTTGTACAACGTATTTTACAGGTTGGCCAGGGGGTCCTTTGTTCGGTATGGGCAGTGCGGGGTAGTGGTCTCAGCTCTGAATCCTATAGTCCGTGACCTAGGACCCCAGGTCCTCTTCAGCACCGGGGGCAGTGAGCTTAAGGCAAACCACAGCATGGAGGAGAGAGCACGAAAAACAATACCTGGGCAGGCACAGGATGTCCAGATTCATCAACGACCACGACGCTTGGAGAACGGACGCTAACAGTAACAAAGGTGGTGATGGTCCAAGCCAGGGGGTTGTACACAACAGCACATGGTTTCACCTCAGAACCTTTCCAGAAAAGACAAAATCGAATGCATCACTTACTGACAGCCAAAACAACAGCAAAGCCACCCAAAGGAGAAGGGGAATTTGAAGCTTACACAGGCCTGCTATCTGTGTAAAGAAACGGAACCAAGGCAAAACGCTCACAGACATACATGTGTGTGCATGTTGGCATAATGTATATAACTCTATTGTACAATGTATGTATGTAACACACACATATACACTGAGGTCATGAGGTGGTAAAGTATAGAGTGCTGGACTTGGGAGTATGGAAGACCTGTGTTCCAATCCTCCCTCAGACCCCGACTAGCTGTGTGACCTGCAACAAGCAGTTTAACCTCTCTCAGGCTCAGTTTCTTCAGTTGTAAAATGGGGATAATAACAGTACCTACCTCACAAGGTAGCATCACATGAGAGAACATGTGTAATGTGCTTTACAAACCTATTACTATTATTATACAGTATACCATATATGTGTGTATAGAGACACATATACACGTGGATTTAAAGTACTTGGGGAACTCTGTTTAAAGCAACAATATCATTCTTCCTTCTTCATGCTCATTCCCACATCTGGGCCTCTATTTATGGCATTTTAGTTGCTGTAATACTTAGATGCCCCAGCCCCAGCTATCTAATGAGAATAACTCTGGGTGTGGAATTCTAAGACCAGCCTGGAAGACTGTGTCTGCCACTTACTAGCTGTGGGAGCTTGGACAATCAGATTCATGCATCTAAGCCTCAGTTTCCTCAAATGTAAACTAGAGAGAATACTATCTCCCCTGGCAATGTCACAGAGTTTGCTGCGTGGATCACATGTGGAAGTAGACAGGAAAGGGCTACAGAGGTAAGTCTAATACTTCTTCCTGAAGACCTACTTAATTAGTTCCTACAGTTAGAAGCAAGTAGAGTTTTAGAGGTCCTAAGCCTCCTCCATTCATTTTGCCACCGCCTTGTATTTCTCCTCCCTTTCTCAGTCACACGAGAAAAGCTATCACTTCAGTGGTGACTTTTTGCTTTCTCTCTTATCATTTACTCTCAACTCCTTGTAATGTGGCTTCTGATTCCATTGCTCGACTGAAATTGCTCTCTACCAAGTTATCAACAGTCTTTTAATCAACAAACCTGAAGGGCTTCTTTCAACCCCTGTCCTTCTAGACTTCTCTGCAGCCTTTGACGCTATCAATCACTGTCTTCTCTTGGATGCTCTTCCGCCCTGGGATGTTGGGACACGGCTTTTGTGAGTCTGTTCTTACCCATCTGACTGATCTTTCCCAGTCTCCTCTGCTGGATCACCATGAATAGCAAATCCTCTGGTGTGGGTCTACTGAAAGGCTTTGTCTTGGCAATGCTTTCCTTCTCTCTGTATCCATTCTAGCTTAGTGACCTCATTGGCTTTCACAGATTTAATTATTATCTCCACGCAATGGTTCCCAGATCTATATATACAACCCTAGTATCTGCCATAAACTCCTGGCCTGCAATACCAACTGCCTATCAGACTTTTTTTGATCTGGACGTCCTTCAAGCATTTCAAACTCAATGTATCCAAACCAGAACTCACCTTTCCCCCCCACACCTATGCCTCCTCCAGACTTCTCTGTTTCTGCTGAGGAAACCACCATCTTTCCAGTCATCCAAGCCTGCAACCCTGGTGTCATCTTTGATTCCTCACATACCACATACCAAGATTGCCAGATCTTGCCAGTTTTACCTCTTTAATGTCTCACACTTCACCCACTCTCTTCATCTCAACTGGATTAATGCAATAGCTTTCTGGTTGGTGTGACTGCCTCAAGTCTCTCCCCACTCCAATCCAGCATCCCCAAAGCTGCCAAGGTGACCTTCTTAAAGCACAGGTCTGACTAGGTCACTCCCCTTATCAACCCCAGGGTCTGTTACTACCTTGAGTATCAAATATAAACCCTTCTCCTACTTCCAGACCGGCCCCAACCTGCCATTTCTGCCTTACTGTGGACTACCTATCCTTCACAGACTCTGTGATGTAGTTAAACTGTCCTTCTTCTAATTCCCTGTTGCTATCTCTGTGCCTTTGCACTGACTGTTCCACATGTTTGGAATGCAGTCCCCCTTAGACCTCTTAGATCTCCTCATCTCCTTCACCTTCTATGGGGAATCTTTCTTGATTCCCCCTGGCTATTAGTGACCTCCTGCTCTTCCCTCCCCCAATCACCCTGTGTCTCTTTGGTATCCCCCTATATATTTACTTACTGTCTTCCCTGATAGACTGTAAGTCCTAGAAGGTAAGAGCTTTTTCACTTATCTTTGCATCCCCAGGGCCCGAACCCATGGCGGTCACATGGGAGATGCCTCATAAATACTTATTGACTGAGATGAACAAATAGTGGCCCAGAGAGGGAAAGCTACCTGCCCAAGGTCACAGAAATGATAAAGTACACAAGTGGGATATGAACCCAAGTCTTCTGACTCCAAATCCAGAGTTCTTCCCACTATACCATGTAAGCAAGGCAGGTATTATTTATCCCCATTTTGTAAGCAAGGAAAATGAAGTTCCAAAAAAGTGAAATAACCCCCCAGGGTAGAGATGGAACTCACACTCTAGTCTTCTGGTTTTGCACCCACCACCTCACACTGCTCAGTTGATTCTCCCTCCTCCCCCATAATCCCATGGTTTCTTGAGTGGGACGGCTCTCTAACAGACACCTCGTTTGCCTGAATCTCTATCAGAGACACCAGCTTGTAGCTCTTCTTTCTTCTCTGCCCGGAACATGTCAAGGACGATGGACACCATTAGCTTCTTTACGTCAAACATTCCTTCCATTAGGTTGTCTACATACATATCTCTCACCTTGGGGGACTCCGTTCCTGTTATGCCATCGTGATGCTGAACCTTTAAAAAAATACGCAGTTATAAAAGATGAATTTAAATAAACCCAGCAGCCAATTTTTCCTGGACTAGCAAACATTAAATGCTGGCATGCTTGCTTCGTGCATTATAGGCGTTCCTGAAAAGTTGACCTATAACTTTATTTTGATGCTATAGACAGCTGTGGCACGAGGGGAATAAGCAAACCTGGGCTCTGATCCTGACTTGACCAAACTAATTTTGTGACTTTGAGAAAGTCACTCAATCTCCTCAAATGTCAGAAGAGGGGAATAGTATCCCAGGTCACATGAAGCTCAAACATTCTATATTGCAGTATTCTCCCAGCTCTAAAATTCTAAGATATCTTATACGATATGAAATAGAATTCAAATTCAGCAAGGGCAGCTCACCATCTGAAACAAAGCTGGTTAATTCTTTTCTTAAAGTAAAATATTCTCCTGTTTTTAAACATTTTAATTAAAAAAAAAAGTTAAACACGGTGCTCCCCAGTTCCAACCCCATTGCCCCAAAACAAAAAAAAAAAAAAAAAAAAAAAAGCTCGACTTTAAAGTCAGGAATCAACAATGATAAGGCTTAGAGGGTCCTTAGAGACCATTAACTTCAACTTCTTCACTTTCCAGAAAAGGAAACTGAGTCCCAGAGAGTAGAAGTGCTTAGCTCTCCTACATGGGGATGGAGACTATACAATCTCTCCCAGCAGTAATAATCTCAACAGCAGAATTTGGTGGCTATAAAAATGCTCTATATCAATTAAAGCATCTGAGTCTTACAATAACCCAGATAAAAAAGGTAGTGCAAACGCTGTCAACCTCATTTCACAGATGGAAGGTCTGGGAAGAGAAGCAGCCTACCCAGGACTAGAACTTGGCTCTGATGTTTCCCCCATTTGACTGGGAGTGCCTCAGGGCTCTCAAAGACACCGTTCTGTGCCTGATACAAAGTAGGTGCTTAGTAAATGTCTGACGTTTGGCTTGTAGTCCCTACCAGAAGTGGATGCTCTACTGTAAAATCACTGGGCTGGCCTAGCTAGTTGCTAAGGTCCTTCCAGCTCGAGCATTCAAAGAATGGACTCTAGAGTATATTATAAAGAATATGATTACAGAGAGATTATGGAGGCTAAAGACCCTGCTGATTTCACGTTAACTATGAACTTCCAATATGATTCCTCTAGACCAGTGTTTTCCAAACCTGAAGAATAAGGTGGATCTGTGACCTCCCTTCTTTACTGCTGACCATTCTGCCCTAGGTGGATAGAAGCCAGGTGCAAGGGAGAAGGATGTAGGAAGAACAGGAGAGGATTTACAAGGGAGGAATGATGTACAGAGATGGAGCCAGTTTTTAAGGCTTATAGAATTGTTTTTTTTTTAATCCAGAACCTATGATTTTATTGCTGTAGGGGACTCCCCAGTAAGGAAAATCCCTTTACCAACACAGACTGGCAACTGCTCTGTAATTCGAGGGTTGCTTGGGACACTGGGAGGTTTAGAGACTCACCAAGGGTTACTTGGCCAATATGTGTGAGAGTCAGCACTTAAATTCAGGCTGTCTTGACTCTGAGGTTTAGAGGGTCCTTAGAGACCCTCTCTATACCATAATACCATGCTGCGTCTTGGGTTTATAGGTTTTAAGAAGTAAGGAGTATTGGAAATAAAAGTTTCAAAGGTCAATAAATATTTAGTGTGGATGGGTAGTTAGGAAATTCTTATCTACACCATCTAAGACAGGGCAATTCCTCTAGATAGTGACCACAACTGAGGTGCCCTTGGACATTCACTCTGATGTATCTGAACAATATCATGCAGTTATCTCTTAGGGGGAAGGCACAGGAGATCATGCCTGTCACCTCTGCTACTGGGGAGCTTGAGGCTAGCGGATCATTTAGCTGGGAGTTCTGAGCTGAAAGCTGATTAGGTGTCCCTACTAAGTCCATTACTAATATGACGATCCCCCCTGGGGATGGGGGAATCCATTAACTTAATTTTGCAATGTTTTGTGAACTGTGTTTCAATATAATTGGTTACCTTTGTAATTCTATGTATTTTATTTTACGTGTTTAAAAATATTCCTCTGTGAAGAGGTCCACAGGCCTCACCAGAATTCTGAAAGTACTCATGACATAAAAAAATAAAGGCGGGGGTGGGGGGTTAAGAATCCTGATCTAGAATCCTAATTATCTATACAAACACACAACAAAGGGATTGTGAAATAGCCACTAAACACTCTATGAAACCACGGGAGTATTTGGAGTTGTGGCTAAGGAAGCTACTCTGCCTCAAAACCATCTGTTCACATATCTGGAAGCGGAACAAATGAGGCCATTATTAGTCATTACCCTACTACTCAGTTCTAATTAGACATCTTAGAGGTGGAAGGGAGCTTGAGAGATCTTCCTGTCCATCCTGACACCCTACCTTCAGGCAGGGAAAGAGCTATCATTCACACTTTACAGCTAATATTTCTCCAAGTTGGCCACTAGATGAGAAATTGTTTTGGCTACAGCAACTCATTAAATCATCTAGTACTAAGGTAGCAGAGGGCACAGAAGCTGGCTTGATGTTCAGTAGCAGTGCGGCAGGTTTGGGGTTGGAAAATCTGGGTTCAAATTCTCTTACATATAAAAGCTGGGTGACTGTGGGCAAGTCATTTAACCTCCCTCAGTTTCACCATCCATAAAATGTGGATAATAATTCCATCTGCCTCCCGCCTCAGAGGGCTGCTAGGAGGCTCAAATGAAAGACAGCATGGAAAGGGTTTTGTAAACCTCAAAGTGCTAAAACTACATCGGCTACAATTATTATTACTGGGGGGAAGGAAGACCCACGCCTATGACATCCCAGATCCCTGAGAGGTGATGCAAGGGAAAGAGGGCAGGACGTGGTATCAGAGGACCCAAATTCAAATCCTGGTTCTGCCATTTACTGTCTACAAGACCTTGGGCAGAAGAACTCACTTTCCTGGTCCTTGGTTTCCTCATCTCTAAAATCAGGGGTTTGGACTAGTAAGCTCTAAGGTCTATGCCAGCTCTGAATTTGTGCTCCGAGGAGCGGGTCTTCACCACTTCAAAAAGGTTATAATTTCCCGTGTGCAGCAAGCGTCCTCACCACACTCTGTGGACAAAACATTCATCTCCAACAGCCAACTCATGCATGAGCCTCTGCACTTAATGAGGCTGTCGTCTGATGACAGACATGCTGTTTATCCCTGGGCTTGTACTCAAAGCTTCTCCAGCCTGGTGGAACCTGCCAGGGTGTCTTCTGCTGGCACAGTCTTTGAGAAGCCAGGGTCACCTTGACACCCAGATAAGACACTAGAAGGAGACTTGGGTGAAGACTGTTGTTACAGTGATGCTGGTTAGTGGTGCTGTGGATGACGCTATCAGGAGTCCTACCCTTAGCTGAAGAAGGGAGAAAAGGTCCCTCTGGTGAATGTCATGTTTGTTTGAAGATGTCGTTTTACCTCTGAAACAGCCCACCGAAGCTTCTTCAGCTGCTCCAAGGACTCAGGTTTAGACAGAGGACCTTGGGGGTTCTTCAGAACATATTGGGTGAACATGGACTCTCCGGCATAAAGACAGGAGCTCCCTCTCCGGGCGATCCCTTTCAGGGAGCTACGGGAAGTATAAAATCCAGTCCAGCTTTGAAACGGCTCTAAGAAGGAAGGTTAGAGAAACAGTCTAGTACCAAAGCAAGGATGGCCTCAACACTGCTAATGATGCATGGCCCAGGGACCCGAGCACCCACGTCTACCCGACTCAAACCAGGCACTATGCTCTAATGGGCAGACGCTGGAGCTGACTTCACAACTTGATCCCCCATCCTGGGAATGAGCTCGAGAGAAGCACTGGACATGAACCTGGACCTTGACATACACCTGTGACTTTTCCTCCTCTCCCACCTCAATGAGAGTCCAAGGCCCCCACACACCACAGCAAAAGGACCCAAGGTCAAACACCAACCCACACCTCCGAACCTTCATACATCCCTCCCCTGCCTGTGACGGATTGCTCCCTCCACACCACACTTTCTCATCCCTAAATAATGGCAGACCTCAGCATTTACAACCTCCCCTTGCCAGCAGTGTTTCTATCATGATACTCCCAAACACAAGACCAGGTCAATGAACTGCTAATTGTGTTGGGGGCCAGTGATGGAGGGAGCTGGTCCCCAAGGCTGCACAGGGCATCCCCTAGGCTCACTTCCTTCTCCTGGACCAGTGGTGCTCCAAACCCCTGATACCTGGCAGTGTAGTAACCACGCATTAGCCAGGGGTGTTCACCGTCACGGCACAGCATACAAGTTCTCTAGGAGCTGCCACGGTTTAAGAAGGACAGAGGTAAGTTAGAGCATCCAAAGGAAAACAACCAGGATGGAAGAGGGCCAGGAGTCCATGTGTATAAGGATCAAAGAAACTGGGCATGATCAGCCTAGAGAAGACAATCTTCAAGCACCCAAAGAGTCGTCATAAAGAGACAGGACCAGACTTATTGCATGTTACCCCAGAGAACAGAAGGAATGGGTGTAAGTTGTGAAGAAGCAAAGCTAAGCTCCAGGTCAGGAAAACCACCCAACAATGGAACTGTCTAAAGGAAAGGGGCTTCTTAGAGAGGTGGGGGGCTCCCCATCCCTGGAGGTCTTTCAGCAGAGGCTGGATGACCACCTGTCAGGTATGCTACAGTGAGGATCCCTTTGGTGTGTAGGCTGGACAAAATGGCCAACAAGGCCCCTTCCATCTCTCCAATTCTGTGATTCTTCCATGGCCATTTTCAGAAGTAGCACGGAGTCATGGACAGAGCACTGAACTTGGAGTCTGGACGACTCGCATTCAGGTCCCACTTCTACTCTCTCTAGCTGTGGAACTCTGGGAAAGTCACTTCACTTCTCTGGTTGTCCTAGCACCAACTTTGTCACAACCAATTTGAGCCTCAGCTTCTTCTTGTGTAAATTAAAGGGGATTTGATGAATCAACATGCTTTCTTTTGGCTTTTTGAATAGATGAAATCAATAAGTATTTACTGAATACTTACTATGCATGATATACTAGGACACAAAAAGACATGGTCCCTGTAAGATGCTTAAAATAGTAGGGAAAATGAGACAAGTACCACTGGCAAAAATAATAACGCTAACAACAGCATAAACAATAATTACTGACATTTATACAGTGCTTGAAAATTTGCAAAGTGGTTTATGAAAATTATCTTGTTTGACCCTCACAGGTGACCTGTGAGTAGGCAGTGTATGAAATAGTTCTATTTTAGAAAAGGGCACATACAGGGAGGTCACTTTCCATAGGGGACAATCATGGAAGGCTTCCAATAGGAGGTAGCATTTGAGCTGGGTTTTAACAGATGGGAAAGATCTCAAGAGGCAGGCAGGGCAAAGTAAGTCATTCCCAGAAAAGGCAGCAGCCTGAACAAAGCTGGTTCTGGAAAAAGGCAAAAGGCTGTGGAAGTTTGACAAGGGATAGGGATGGTTTTACCAAACAGACAATAAATTGTGATTAAGAGAGCTATAGAATCTTACTGCCAGAAGGGACTTTAGAACAGCAGAGAATGTCAGAGCCATAAGAAATATTAGTAAAGAACACAGAACAAAGAATGCAAGAGCCAGAAGGGACCCATCAGACTAGAAGAGAACAGGGCTCAGGATGGAGATGCTAGACCCAGAAGAGGGACATCAGCACTTACTTAGTTTCATAAACTCTTTTGACAGATAAGGGAACTGAGGACTAGACAAAGGAAATGACTTATTATACAGCCAATGACAGAGATGAAGCTAGAGCCAAGGTCTCTTGGTTTCTGGGAAGAGCTGTTCCAGCTTCACTGTATGACCTCAGGAAGGCAAATAGGAAGCAATACACCCAAGAGCTGTAATCAATCTGTGCCACTTGAACTCTGCCATCACATCTTTAAGTGGGGAAGCAGGAGGGCAATCCTTTCTGGTGAGCCCTCTGAGAGTGAACCGCCAGTCAGTCACTCATCCTGTGCTGCTCTTGAAGTCTGGGACATGCCGAGGTGTGTGCGTGTGACCTCTAGTGGCTTCAGGGAGGCAGGTGACAGGCACTTTCAGATACCTCTTGGCATGGTGGCTCAATGGGCCAGTGTTAGGAAGGTACCTCTCACCTCCACTTAGGCACCGTGAGCAGTGGGCAATAGTACCTCTGATCAGCATTTTAGAATTAAGGCTTATTGTCTAAGCTTCTTTAACTTTCAGAAAAGATCAGAATAGGTGAGATTCCTTTTTTCTTGAAGTCTCATTCACCAGCTAGCAGGGCTGCTGAAAATGCAACCCCCCCTTTTTTTTGTTTGTTTTTTTTGTTTTAGGCAACTGGGGTTAAATGACTTGCCCAGGGTCACACAGCTAGTAAGTGTCAAGTGTTTGGTCTGAGGCTGAATTTGAACTCAGGTCCTCCTGACTTCTGGGCCGGTGCTCTATCCACTGCGCCACCCAGCTGCCCCATGCAACCCCTTTTTAAGCAACTGTCTTGAAGCTGGACCATTTCAGTCCTCTTGTAAATTAGCCTCAGTTGAAGCTATAGAACTATAATGCCTGAACTTGACTGAATCCAACATCTGAGAAAATGCACTTCCATCCATTCTTTGCAGAGGCAGGGGATTGATTATGGGTGTAGAATATTTCACGTATTGTCAGCCTCCGTTGATGTGTTGGTTGGTTTTGCTTATTTGCTTGGAAAAAAAACTGTTACAAGGGATGGCTTGCTGGAGAGAGGCATTTATTTGTAAATGAAAGTGATTTAAAATGAAAGATATCAAGAAAAATTTTAGGAAATTAGCCTCAGTTATTTATGAGTTTCCCTCATAAGCAACTAAAATCTGCAAGTGGGGCTCCCAGAAACAAATTTATTAAGTTCCTACTATGTTATTAGTCACTGTGCTAGTTACTGGGAATACAAAGGCAAATGTGACACAGTTCCCTCAGAGAACTTCTAGCCTACTGGAGAAGCCGCCATGTTCATGTTAAAGGATATATAAGCCACATACAACGTAAACACCAAGCAACTTGAGATGAGGAGACATCAGGTGAGAAGAAGGGACCAGGAAAAGTCTCTTGCAGAAGGTGGTACTTTAACTGAGTCTCCCTCCAAAAAAGAAGAAGGACAGCAAATACTGGACTTCTTTTGTTCACTTATGCAGCAACACAACATGGTCCCAAGAACACAAGGCTAAGGAAAAAGAGAGCTGAGCTCTAAACCCAGCTCTGTCACTACTTAAGCTCTAGAACCTGTGCCAAGTAATTTCCCTTTTCTGCCCTTGGTTTTCCTATGTGTAGAATGGGAATGGGGCAGGGATTGAGCTTCTGAGAAGGATATTGATAAGCTGGAGAAACTCCACAAAAGGGCAGCCAGGCTGGTGGAAGGCCTTGATGGCTAAAGATAGGGTTCAAGAACTTGGGATACTTAGCCTAGAGAAGATAAGATTTAATGGGGACATGATAAACATCCTCAAGGTCACAAAAGACCGTCACATGAAGGAGGGGATTGGCCCCAGAGGAACAATGAAATTGTAGAAATTGCAGAAAGGCAAATTTAGGCTTGAGCTAAGGGAAAACTTTTTAACAATGAAAGCTGTCCAAAATGGAAAGGGCTGCCTTGGGATGCAGTCGTTCCTCTGTCATTGGAGGCCTTCAAGCAAAGGCTAGATGATGAGTGTTTGTCAGATATAACGTAGAACAGATTATTGTGTAGGCATGGGTGGCCCCTTCGGGCCTTTACAACTCAGAATAGCGATTCTGACTGTGTGATCCCCAAGGTCCTTCTCTGCCCTGGTGATTTATTATCTGTTCCAAGGTCTCTTTTGGAACATTCTGAATGTTCTCTGAGAGAAAAAAAAAAAAACAGAATTTAATCACAGATCTGAATTTTTTGTCTTCATTATAAATGTCATAGGGGAAGTATCTTGAGGTTGGGACACTGCTGTTTTTCCCTTCGCGTCCCCAGGGTCCTGCACATAGTAGTCAATTAATGAAGGCTTATTTAATTGCATTTTTGAATGTGTTGATTGGTTTGCTTATTTGAAACCTGAAAACAGTGAGGCCTCTGGTCAAGTCTGAGTAGCTTGAATGGAAGTCACTCGTAAGACACATACAAACCCCAAGTATAACCCAAAGTGAGAGGGAAAGCAGGCAGTGTAAGTACCTGTTGAATATGGAAGAAAGTCCTGCTGGTTCCGTGTGTTCCAGGTGACATTTCGATCATGAATGGCACGGAAATAATCACTCACGGTAGCATACTCCACAGTAACCCCAAACTCCTCAGAGTGGTTATTAATATAGGCTAGCAATGGATCCATGTTGGCGAACTGGACAGACGAGTTAAAGAACTGCTTGTCACAACCCTGCAATTCACAAACAAAAAGGATAACATGGCACCAGGAGCAAGGAGACCTGGGCTCTCAACAGAGCTTCCGCCTGGTAACACACTTACCTCTCCATCTCATCAGTCCAATGGCACACCTCTCCCTAAGGGCTGTGAAGATCTCTGAAAGGTCTATTTGTGATGGCATCATTATCTCTACAGACAATTGCGAGCCCCTCAAATCATGATCTCAGTTCAAACTGGAAGCACAATCTAAATGATACAGGTATCCAAATGTAGTAGAAAGGCCCAGATCTGGGAGATAAGCAATCTGGGTCATAGGCCTTCCTTGGTTCTTAACTAGTCCTGTGACCTTAGACCTTCTCCTCTGTGGGCCTCAACCTCCCCTTCTATAAAATGAAAGGGTTAAATAAAATAATTAAAATAAAATAAATAAGAATAATAAAATAAAATAAAATAAAATAATAAAAAATAAAATAAATAAAATAAAATAGGGTTTGTGCCAGCTCAAGTATTCTGTGTTTTCTGTTCTAGAGTTCATCCGAACTCCAGTAATCTGTGAATCTGTGAAACCAAACTGAGGGCAGAGGATTTAACTTGCCCAAGAACAAGAATAAGAGATGACATGGAATTAGTTTTCCACCTTTTTAGCCTTTTATTAATTAACTAATTAATAGTTCATCCAACAACCATTTAATAATCATGTACAATGTATAAATCACTGTACTAGGTAATGGATGGACAAAGACAAAACAAAACAGTTCTGTTAACTGTTCCTTGAAGGCAAAGATTATTGTGTGGGGCAGTGGTGAACACAGAGTGTTACACCTGGCAGTTAGGAAGACCTGGGTTCAAATCCTGCCTTCAACAATTATTAGTTTGTGTGACCATGGACAAATCACTTAACCTCCATGAGCTTCAGTTTTCTCACCTGTAAAATGGGGATACTACCTATACCACCTACCTCTCAGAACTGTGAAGTTCAAATAAGATAATGTGTGCATAACTTTGTACTTATTAAAGGATCATATAAATATCAGTCATTATTATAAATGCTTTTGCCTAGGTCTGAAATACAACATGTACACAGACGAGAAAGCCCTAACAACTTGGGGAGGGGGGAGAGAAGAGTCAGGAAAGACTTTCTCCTCCTGTAAGAGGCAGCATCTGAGCTGAGCCCTTGAAGGAAGCTAAGAATTCTAAGAGATGGTGATAAGGCAGTGTAGACATGGTAGAAGAACATGAGATAATGGAATGGCAAGTTCTCTGAACATCCAGAAGGTCATTTTGGCTGGAATGGACAGTATACAAAAACATGGGGTGATCTGCTTGTCTTGGATGGAGCCCACAATGTCCAGAGGTGACCCTGAGACACCATGTTCAGGGTTGGATGGTAAGTCAAGTGCACCCAATTACAGCTGGCCATCATTTCCCACAAGCCCATGGTGTAGCATGAATGACATTGCTGATGACATTAAGGAAGCAATGCATTGGAGTGGAAAGATCTCTGGATTTAGGGAGTCTGACAACCTGGATTCTAATTCTGGTTCTGTTCCTAATTAGCTGTGCACCCCCTGGGCAGATGCTTCCCCTTCCCTGGACCTCAATGTCCTTCATGGCAAAATGGGGATACTAATACCTGCTTTACCTACTTTCCAAGGTGTTTGAAGACTGAATGAGATTGTGTATGTGAAAGCACTTTGTAACCTACAAAGTTAGTAGGAGTTAGTTCTCCTAAGGGTGAAGTGTTATTATTCATGCCTTTTTAAATGATGATAACAAAGTGACAGCGGAAGCAGGTTACTTAAGGTTACTGAAAATGAATGGCTGGAGTGGACCCTTTAGTGCTGAGATGGGAGTGCTGGTTAATCAAGCATTCTTTTAACATATTCCTATAGAGGACTTTTTTTTCTCCTTTCCCTTAACTCTTTTTGGGTAACAGATTGTCACAGATAAAGAGAACTTTAAAACACAAGATATAGGATTTTAGAGATGAAAGGGAGCTAAGAATATAGAAAACAGAACATTAGAGTTGGAAGTGACCTTAGAACATAAAACACAAAATGTCAGATCTAGAAGGCACTTCAGAACACAAAACACAGAAAGGTGAAACTGGAGGGAGCTTTAGAGCATTAGAGCCAGCAGGGACATTAGAACACAGAATGTTAAGAGCTGGAAGTAAGTTTAGAACACAGAATGTTACAGCAGAGGGGCCTCAGAACACAGAATGTTTCAGCAGAGGGGCCTCAGAACATAGAATGCTACAGCAGAGGGGCCTTAGAACATAGAATGTTACAGCAGAGGGGCCTCAGAACATAGAATGCTAGCACTGGAGGGAATCTTTCAACATGAACATTAGAGCTGGAAGAGGCCTTAGAATACAGACGTCAGAGCTAGAAGGGACCACAAGGATCATTATCTTAGTCCTAAGTCCCATGGAAATGTGCCATCTCTGGGTTGAAGGGTCACCTTCGAATGTGTCCTACTAGTTTCAGTAAACACAATGAGACCAAAAGAGCCTGGTCTGGGAGATCTGGGGTCTAGCCCAAGCTCTGCTGCTCCCTAGTTGAGCAATTCTGGACGAGTCATTTGTTTCACCTGCTTCCTCTCATCTGTGAATTGCAGACACTACGACCTGCCCTATGACCTCACCTGGCCTCCCAGGCTGTTATAAGCAAAGTTCTAAACAAAACTGCATTTAAAGAAGTAAAAAACTCCTGGCACCTGCCAGGTATCTTTTTTCCAAATGGATGCGCAATCACCAAACCATAACCCACCACTACTAATGAGACGATTCCAAGGTTCCTTCAAAAGGAATAAGGAAGTTTCCAGTGGTTGGTCAGACCACTCAGAAAATATAGGCCTTTATGAGCTTCCTGGTTAATGACTTCCTAAGATCCCCAAAGACAAGTGCCTTCCCAGCTCCCTGTGCCCATCAACAATTGTGATGTTTCCCCTTCTCGAAGCCAATGTGTGTCCCCCTCGGGTGCTTTCTATCCAATGCCTCTGCCGGCACTGTGCCAGGATGGAGAAGGCACCAGGAGACCTGGATTTGAATCCTAGCTCTGTGACCTTAGTCATTTTATCTTTCTGGGCCTGAGATCCTTCATCGATGAAGTGGGGAATAATAATCCTTGCAATCCTGAACCCAGAGAGCTTTTGTGAGGTAAGTGCTTTGTAAAACTGAAAGTAATTTTTTAAAAAAAGTGACAAGGGAGTTTATTAGGATAATATATGGAAAGGGCTAGGTAACCATAAAACACAAAACAAATGTAAATTATTATTATCATCAACAATATTTGTACCTCCACCACCAAAAACAAACTTCTCTGTTTTGGTATTCAAAGACCTGCCCAACTACAGCGGCCTTCCTGCCATTCTCTCCCTTGACATCCTATGTCCCATCTCTGCACCTTTGCATAGGCAGTCCCGCATGCCTGAAATACATTCCCACCTCTCAGAATCCCCAGATTTCTTCAAAGCTCAGCTCAAACACCAAATCTTGCATAAGGCCTTTCTTGATCTCCCCAGCTTCCAGTATCTCTTCCCCCCACCCCACCTTGTATTTATTTTGCACATATTTATATATGTTCACATTCTATAGTTATCTCTCTCCCTAATGGAATGGAAGCTCCTTGAAGGTAGGGACTGCTTTATTTTTGTCTTTGTATCCCCAGAGCCTAGCAAAGCAACTGGCACATAGTAGGCACTTAATAAGTATTTGATTAATGAAAGAAAGAAAGGGAAGGAAGGAGAGAAGGAGGGAAGGAAAGAGGGAAAAGAGGAGGGATGAAAGAAAGAGAGAAAGGAAAAAGGAAAGAAGAAACAAAGGAAGGAGGGAGGGAGGTAAGGAAAGAATGAATGAAGGAAGAAAGGGAGAGGGAAGGAAAAAAAGGAAGGGAGAAAGGGAGGAGGGAAGGAAGAAGGGAAGGAGGGAAGGAAGGAGGGAAGGTGGGAAAGAAGGAGAAAAGGGAGGTGGGAAGGAAAGAAGAAGGTAAAGGGGAAGGGAAATGAAAGGGAAGGAGGTGGGAAGGAGGAAGAAAAGGAAAGAAAGAAGGTTAGAAAATAAGGACAACTTGATTTCACTTGATCGTGCAGCAATACTACAAAATAGGTAGTACAAATATTGTTATCCCCATTTGACAGGTGAGGAAACTGAGAGATCAAGTAATTGACCCAAGATCAAATAGCTAATAAAGGCGTGAAGACAGGGAGATCTTTCTACTCCTCACCCAGAGCTGTTTTCCACAACATCATATTGCCTCTGTAGTTATAAATGTGAGAGGTGGGCTTCTGAGACTGAGACCCTAACCCTCTTACCCACGGCCAAAGTACATCCCGAGTCCTGAACCAGGCTGCTCTCTCCTTGATGTTGGCCACCATGGTCCGTGCGTAGAGGCTGAGGCTGGCATTTGTCACTGGCAAGCTCATGTTGGGGTAAACACCATCTTTAGGAGGGTTAGGGAAAAGTGCAATTCCATTCCAATAAAAGCCGGACCTGAGGAGGAAACAGACAGTTGAGGTTCTTTAACGTTAAGAAAAACAACTCAAGTCTCTATAACAACTGCTCTTCCTCACAAGAGGCCTCTGAGGGAGGGAGGGTAGGTGTTATTTCCATTTTACAGATAAGCAAATGGAGGTTCTGAGAAGGTAAGTCACTGCCCCTACAGCTGAACTGCCACTTAAACCTGGGTCTTCTGACTCTTAAGTCGAGCTTTCTTTCCACTTGCCCATACTGCCTCTCACTGCCAAGAACAATACCTCACATTTATTCCAGTGCTTGGCACAGTGCCCAGCACATAATAATAATAATGATAATAGAAACAGCTCACATTTATTTAGTGCCTACTCTGTGCCATACACTGTGTTAAGCACTTTACAAATACTGTCTCACTGGATCCTCACAACAACCCTGGGAGATAGGTGGTATTATTACCCTCATTTTACTGATGATGAAACAAAGGCAAGTGAAGGTTAAGTGACTCGCCTAGGATCATCCAGCTGGTAAGTGCCTGAGGCTGGATTTGAACTCAGGTCTTACAGATTCCAGGCCCAGTGACCTACAAGGCTATGTACAGCAAGAGCTATATAAGATGCCATGCACATTGTGGGCAGTCAATAAATGTTTATTGACTGACTGGTGACTGACAGTGATTGATGAAGTCCACAAAGTTCCTTACATTCATGCTCTTATTTGGTCCCTACAAAAACCAGGGAAGGTAGACGGTCTTATCCCCATTTGAGGTAACTGAGGCTCCAAGAGGTGAGATGCCTTGCCCAGGGTCACCCCACTCTTTTTATCCCCTAGGCCTGGCATGGTCCCTGGCACCTAAGTGACCTTTAACAAACGCTGAGTAAAGTGATACGGGTGGGATTTGAAGTCTGGAATCCCAGAAGCCCAGCCCAGCACTCTAAACACTGGGCTACACTGCCTCTCTGCCCACTCTAGCCCAAGCACCGGGAGAGGCCATTGAGGCTCAGGTACTCTGGCTACTCCAAGAGCCAGGCTGGCCAAAGGGTGTGCTATCGATCAAAGTACACTGACTGAGAACCTGGGTGTGAGGGGTGCAAGGAAGATGAAGGTGCTGCTTCTTCTACCACGAGATCTGCAACTGTTCTGGGGAAACAGTATTGGATTTCTAGTCCCAAAACTGGGTTTAAATCCCAGTTTTGCCATTCATTAGCCGGGCAAACTTGGGCAAGTCATTTAAGCTCTCTGGGACTCTGCTTATTCATCTATAAAATGGGAGAATAACATTTGCTCCACTTACCCCAAAGGGGAATTATGATGAAAACACTTTATAAATGGTACAAATGTGAGCTATTATGTTAATTGTTATTACTACTAACAAGGAATATAAAAGAGATAAATAATAATACAAGGTAATATATGCCAAGTAAAGAAGCAACTTAGCACAGTGAAAGAGTGTTGGCTGTGGAGGCCAATGACTTGGGTTTGAATCCTGGCTCTGCCACTTGCTAGAGTGACCTCCCTAAAGACTCAGGGTATTTCCTTGGGGTTTGGGTGGTACCATCAAAAAGATGGCATTTGAGCCGGACCCAGAAGGATGAGAAAGTGTGGAGGGCATCGCTAAAACAGCCTGAACAGAAGTAAAATAGGAAACGTGTGAGTGAGAGAGACCGACAGACAGACAGACAGAAATAGAGACACAGAAACTGAGAGACAGAGACAGACAGAGAGACTGTGTAAGGTATACTGGTGGGGGGCGGGGTAGGGAGGATGGTAAGTAAAGTAGTTTGATCAGAGCAGCAGAAAGGGTGTGGTAATAATAATAATAATGATGATAATAATGGGTTCATATACAGTACTTTGAGGTTTGCAAAGTGTTTTACATATAGCATGTAAATAAGACACTAGGAATGAAAGAGAAGCCAGGGCCCAGCTGTAGAGGCTTCTGAATGCCAGGCTGAGTCTGAATCTTATCCTGTTGCTAACAAGGAGCCACTGACTATCAGCATACTTAGCTCATTGGCCCCAGGTGCCTTTTTTATTTTTTAAAGTTTTTCTTGATATCTTCTGTTTCTTACATCAGCACAGCTATCCCATGTATTCCTCTTATTCCCTCTGCCAGAGAGAGCCACCTCATATGACAAACAGTATTTTTTTAGAAAGGGGAAAAAAAAGGCAGTAGAATTGATCAATAGAATGAAAAAGTCCAAAAATATGTGTTATATATAACAGCTGTGGACTGCCCACCTCCAGGGAGGGGTAGATTGGGGATGCCTTCTCATATCTCTTCATTCAAGTCCTGTTCAGTCTTTGTAATTGTGTTTAATTTACTTTGGACTTTAATGGTGTGTTAATGTTCTTTCCATTTATGTTTGGAGGGAGGAGGGGGGAGGGAGAGAGAGGGAGAGGAAGAGGAGGAAGAGGAGAGAGAGGAGGGAGAGGGAAAGAGACATAGGCTCTTACTTCCCCCAGTAGAGGACCCAGGTTCTAGTCTCAGTTCTGACACTTACTAGCTGAATGACCTCAGGTTACTAGCTTAACCTCTGACATTCAATGTCCCAGTCTGTCAAATGGAGAGAATATAACCTGAACTCAGACTGTACCCCTGTAGCCTGTAGAAAGGCAGCCCAGGTCACTGTGAGGCTTGAATGACACATAATGGACAGGAAAATGTTTTGAGAAGCATTAAGTACTTTATAAACATAAATGGTTATTATTTAAAAAATCAGGGTACGGAAATAGAGGCTCATGATGTCTATCAGACCTTAAGCATAGCAACGGCACTGGAATGCCCGGGAGGATTTTCCCATGGTGATTCTGCAGGACATTAAGCTGGTCCATTAGTTTTCAATCAAGGGGAACAGTAGTCAGTATTGAGACTCATATTTCTCTTCAAATGATCAAGTTACATTTACTGGAGAGCAAGTTACCCCTTGCTTTCTCCCATCTTTGTAGACACACAAAGGAGCCAGAACAAGCCAGAAGAAAAGGCAATAGATGGAATCAGGAAGAACGGGTTCTTGTCCTAAATCACTATTTCTGAGAGTGGCTGGACTATATAACCTCTAAGGTCACTTTCAACTCTAAGATTCATGACAAACTTTCTGTGTACCTTTGGGCAAGTTCCTTTTCCCCTCTGGACCTTAGGTGTTTTTCCAACTATACAATGAGAGGGCTGGACCATACAGTTGGGCCAACTCTAATAATCTCTGTCCTATGTTCTAAGTCTTCTTCCAAACACTCTAATTCTAAGATCCCTATCAGCTAAGAATCTATGTACTATATTCTAGAACAGGAGTCCATGAACTTTGCTTTTGAAATAGTTTGCCATTTCAAAATAGCAGAATTTCAATGTAACGGTTTCCTCTGTAATACTATGAATTTTGGACTGCACATTTAAAAACACGGTTCTTAGAAGGGGTCTGTAGATCTCACTAGACTGTCAAAGGGGAAGGGAAAGGAATAAGCATTTATCTAGTACCAAATACATGCTGGGCACTGTGCTACGTTCTTTACAAATATTAACCCACTTGATCAGGAAATTGATTAAGAACCTGTGCTCTAGAAAGAAGACGCATCTGGAGTCAGAAGCACTGAGTTTAGGTCCTGGCTCTGCCACTCACTAGCAGTGTGTCCAGGCACAAGTCATTTCCTCAGTCTATCCAACAAAAAATAAGGGGGTTAGAGAAGAGGTCACCTCCAATTCTGTGATTCTATTCTCTGGTACTAAATTTTTTTTGTGAGGCAAATGAGGTTAAGTGACTTGCCCAGGGTCACAGAGCTAGTAAGTGTTATATGTCTGAGGCCGGATTCGAACTCAGGTCCTCCTGACTATCCACCTAACTGCCCTTCTGGTACTAATTTTTAAAGAGAACAGCTTTGGTTCTGGAGCCAGAGTACCTGAGGTGAAGTTCTGATTCTGATACTTACAAGTGTGACCATAAGTAGGTCATTCTACCTCTAAAGGCTTTAGTATTCTTATCTAGGGGGCAAAGTGGATTGATTGCTGGACCTGGAGTCAGAAAGACCCAAGTTCAAATTCAACTTCAGATGCTTGCTAGCTATATAACTTTGAGCAAGTCACTTAATCACTGGCTACCTCAGTTTCTTCATTTGTAAAATGAAGATTATAATAGCACCCATCTCCCAGAATTGTTGTGAGGATCAAATGAGATAATATTTATAAAGTGATTTGTGAACCTTAAAGCGTTACATAAATACTACTTATCATCATCATTATTGTTATTACTATGCCTTTCAGCAATAAATCCTAAGACTGATGTCACTTCTTGCTGGACCTCAGAGCCCTCCGCTGTAAAATTAGGAAGCTGGATTAGATGGTCTCTCTGCTCTAAATTCAGTATTTCCAAGGTCTCCTACAGTAACAGGTCCTGGGCAGATTCCATTGCAAGCCAAATAAAGCCACCAGTAAAAGAGAAAGCAAAGACTCCACCAATGAAAGCAGAATATCATTTGGGATCAGAACTCAGCTGATAGTAAAGCTGTCTTTCTGGCCAGACTTAATCCATTCTACTTAACAAAGCCTCCAAACTCACTTCCGGAGGTGCTGAACACACAGAACAGATAACCTTCATTTATGAGAGAGCTGCTTTGCCTCCTATTAAGTCACTGCAGAATTACAGCAGAGAGCAGTCCACAGGGGGAGCAGAATGAAAAAATGAGCAAATTGCTAGTGCTAAATGGGGAAAAGGAGGGGGAAAACTTCCTTTTCATAGAAAATAGAAGCATTTCCTCTCAGCTCAGGGGGGATAAAGAGTGGCCTGTAGCCGCTGAACTTTCTACCATAGGAAAGACATAGGAAATACATGCACACACAAACAAGCATGTATATATACACATATACATACATATATACATACATACATGTGCATACCCATACATATATGTACTGATACACACATTCAGAACTGTCATTAGAGAGGTTGGAGCCTAGCTTTCTCCCTCCACAGAGGACCCATTGTGGGCTGGTCAATATGACTATCCCAGGAGAGAACACCTCAGCCTCT